GTGTGTGTGTGTGTGTGTGTGTGTGTGTGTGTGTGTGTGTGTCTGTGTGTCTGTGTGTGTGCGTGTGTGTGTGTCTGTGTGTGTCTGTGGGTATGTGTGTGCGTGCGCGCGCGCGTGTGTGTGTGTGTGTGTCTGTATGCATATATTATACTCAGCCGCACAACGAACACACGCAGAACACTTCATAAACTACAGGCAAGAAAAGACATTCAAAAATTGAACAAGTCTTCTTCGCGAATGACAATACGTGTATATAGTTCCTCAAAGAGTTTTACTTCCGTCCCTTTTCTCCCCGAGAATTTACATATGCAAAAGACACTAAGAAAAGTTCCTCGGGCGTTTTTCTCTTGTTCCGTGGCGTCGCGGGAAGAGGGGAAAAAAAAGGAAAATTGTAAATAATGCCGAAGAATGTGGGTTGACGCGGCGACTCTCGGCGGGAGATGGAAGATAAAGGGAAGTAGATGGTAAAAAAGGTGGATGTATGGACAGGCAGATAGATAGTAGATAGACTGTAAGAGAGAGAGAGGGGGGGAGAAAGAGAGAGAGGGGGGAGAAAAAGAGTGAGAGGGGGGAGAGAGAGAGGGGGGGAGAGAAAGAGAGGGGGGGAAAGAGAGAGAGAGAGAGAGAGAGAGAGAGAGAGAGAGAGAGAGAGAGAGAGAGAGAGAGAGAGAGAGAGGAAAGAAAGAGAGAGAGGGAGAGAGAGAGAGAGAGAGAGAGAGAGAGAGAGAGAGAGGGAGAGAGAGAGCGGATAGACAGACATAGATAACTGACAGATCGGCAGATAGGATAGTAAACAGACAGGCAGACACAGACAAATAGGTAAATAAAGTCAAAGTAAAGCTAAAGAGAGTTCAATATGTCAGAGAATAGGGAACAGACAGATTTATACAACGAGAAAGGCAGGGCATTATAGACTCGTCCTAGTCCCCTCATGCCCAAATATACAGATTATTATTATTGTTACATTTGTAATCATTATTATTATAATTAATATCATTATTGTTATCATTGTTATTATCATTATTATTATCATTATCATCATATATTATTATTACTATCATCATAGATTATTATTACCATCATTTTTTCATTATAATTATTATTATTATTATCACTGTCATTATTTTTATGCTTATTATTATCATTGTCATTATCATTATTATTATCATTATCATTATCATTATGCTTATTATTACTATTATCATAATTATTATTATTATTGCTATAATTATTTCATCTTGTTATTATCATTATTATTACTATCATTATCATCATTACTATTATACT